ACCCCATTAAATATATTCAAATTGCAGAATGCTGCTGCTCACATCAATTTCATGTCAGTTGCTCTGTCTTATTATTGCTTACACATGACAATACTCTAGTAGTCTGGAAGAGTTAGTGTGCCTTCCAAGATCACACCTTACAGATTTCATGGCACAGGTGCCAGGACGTACAGATTTATTTCTCAATATGTTCTTTCTGTCTCTTCTTCCTTAAGTAATACATTTGCCTGTTTCAAGAGTAATTTTTTTTTCTTTCTCTTTGAAATTTATACTTAACCAAACAGTATCTTAAAATGGCATATTTGTATGTATAAAAAGTTATAAGGTTCACAGAAGTGAATCATTAAATATTAAACCTATAGTATAGGTCTGTGGTTCCCAACCCCCAGACCATGGACTGGTACCAGTCCGTGGCCTGTTAGTAGCTGGGTGCACAGCAGGAGGTGAGCTGCGGGTGAGCCAGCGAAGCTTCATCTGTATTTACAGCAGCTCCCCATCGCTTGCATCACTGCCTGAGCTCCACCTCCTGTCAGATCAGTGGTGGCATTAGACTCTCATAGGAGTGTGAACCCTACTGTACACTGCGCATGTGAGGGATCTAGGTTGCATGCTCCTTATGAGAATCTAATGCCTGATGATCCAAAGTGGAGCTGAGGCGGTGATGCTAGCGCTGGGGAGCAGCTGCAAATACAGATTATCATTAGCAGAGAGGTTTGACTGCACAATAGATGTAATGCACTCGAATCACCCCAAAACCATCCCTTCCCTCCCTCCACTCACTGTCGTTGGAAAAATTATCTTCCATGAAACTGTTCCCTGGTGCCAAAAAGGTTGGGGACCACTGGTATAGATAACTTTGGTGATAACCTGAGTCAAACTGTATTTATCATGAATTTAATATCCATCACACTCAAATTTATTTTCATAAATTGACATTTAGTAAATAGATTATCTGAACATATTAAAGAACTAAGGTTTAGTCACCTTTCAGGTGGAAAAAAAATGCAAGGAGGACCTTCTGATAATACTTTAGAAAGTTTATCTATATTAATAACTCATCAAGTACTTATATGCTATATGGCTGATCTAGCTATCTGGGTAGACCCTTCAACACTGTTTAATGCACATACCTCCCGATATTAAATCCTTATAAAAGCAAACAAAAATGCCATGCCGTTTGGTCATAGGTTGAGAAGCAGCTGTTCTTTGGTATAATCCCTCATTCTGTATAAGTAGAGTTGATTTCTTTTTTAAACATGCTTCTCAATTAAATTTTATTGGACTTTTCTGTGTGTACAAATACAGCCTAAGGGGAGCCTTCCCTTCTTCATTCCCCACTATTAACTGCCTCCTGCAGGAAAAAACTGCTAATAACTTACAGGTTATGTATGAATAGGCATTTGAAGTTCTGTATTATTCATTAATCTGATTGTCATGCTTCCTATGTCACTGCTTAAATGTACAACATGGCACAACTAGAAAAAATAGTAAGGCATTATACTGAGACACTACTTGTTGATTAATGTGTTCTTAGTAACAATACCACAGCCCAGTACTTGGGAGCCTTGGAATCAAAACTGAGTTTAAAATCTGGACCCACTATTTACTATGTAGATGACCTTGAACAACTTCCTCATCTACAAAGTGTGGATAATGAAAGTACCTTCCTTATAGCACATGTTGGAGGACTGGCTAAAGGGAGTCATGGAAGGCATTTTGAATATTGTCTGCCACTGTAGTAGTCATTATTTACTATTATTAATGGTGTATAATTTACATGATCATTAAAAATTAATTATAGAATTTTACACATTCATATTATCACTTTAATTTTAACTATATCATATGTTTCAGTTTTACTCGTAAAAATATTTAATGCATGCTTTAGTACCTTGTTGGAACTCAAATATATTACTATGAGTAACACAGTACACACATACACACCCAGGAAAGTACAAATGTGATTAAGAATTTCTCCTACTGAATCCGTATATCTAATTGTTTTAACACCTTTATGAGTTATATAATTAGGAAGTCAAACTAAATAAGAGCCTCATATTTCTATTACTTAGTCTGTTT